TATTTATTTAGTGTTCTGTCTGAGGACCGGTCCATATGAACAGGATCCTTCCCTCCTTTTCTCGGACTGGGACCTGTTCATATATGTTCTTGGCAGATGATCCAGAAGTGGTTTGCCATTGCCTTCTTCTGTGTGTGAATGGAGTAATTGTTGGGATGCCACGGAGGAAAACTCCGTGTTGCCTAGACCACGGCCTTGCCCAACACAAGTTATATATTCGGGCACCGCCGGGAATCGAACCCGAGACTCCAGGATTACAAGGCCAGCGTTCTAACCGGTAGACCACCGTGGCCTATACACAGATTTAATTGTATGTGTTAAGTAGGAAAGTAATTATTTGAGATTAAAAATAATAAGTTACAATATAACATTAATTTTAAAAGATATCTTGTCAGTAATTTAATTCTGTGAGAACAGTAAAAGATAATTTTAGAAGGTAGCTTACGTCTTGAAATGACAGTCATAAAAATTATTTCTGTCATAAAAAAGGTTTTCTTCTGTAGTAGACGTTTCGTGTTTGGTAGCGTAATCTAACTTCAGTATACACTCTTTTTATAACATTCCAATTCAAATGTAGCCATGACGATACTTATATCCGTACACAGGTAGTGATTACACTTGACAAAGTAGAGAGTAGGACGGCTTTATGACGACGACCCTTGTCGGTAACACAGCGCAGGCTGGTAAGCCTAAGTGTCATCATCTGTACCGACGGTTTACAAAAAAAATTCTGTCCTGTACGATTCCTGTGTCACTGGAACGGATCACCAATCGAGAAAGATATTCTCGACTTATAGGCTCAGGAGAATCGATAAATATTATCATAAACTCATTCTGGTAAGTAAAGTATGAACTAGATGCCTGGTAATGCTTGGTAATCAATACTCTTTGCACTTATGAAAAATACATCATTGCACTTATACCGTTTAAAGACAACTTAGCGACTGAACCGAGTACGTTATAAAATGTCGTGACCTTGAAAAGTCACAGCGATATTTTGATTATTATTCCAATTGAATTGTATTGAATTTGAACAATCAGTAAATATTTTAATTTTGATTGCTTTATAACCGACTAACTAGATGGCTTACTTAACCCGAAGGTTCATCACCGAATTAACCAAAGCCCTCCACCGGTCCCTGTCCTGGGCCAACAAAATCCAGTCTCCTTCTACTCCTATCTCCCATAGATCCCGCCTGAGATTATCCTCCCATCTACGTCTAGATCTCCCCAGAGGTCTCTTCCCCTCAGGCTTCCCAAATAGTGGACCCAACCAACCAGATGGCTTACGGAACCCGAAGGTTCATCACCGAATTAACCAAAGCCCTCCACCGGTCCCTGTCCTGGGCCAACAAAATCCAGTCTCCTTCTACTCCTATCTCCCATAGATCCCGCCTGAGATTATCCTCCCATCTACGTCTAGATCTCCCCAGAGGTCTCTTCCCCTCAGGCTTCCCAAATAGTGGACCCAACCAACCAGATGGCTTACGGAACCCGAAGGTTCATCACCGAATTAACCAAAGCCCTCCACCGGTCCCTGTCCTGGGCCAACAAAATCCAGTCTCCTTCTACTCCTATCTCCCATAGATCCCGCCTGAGATTATCCTCCCATCTACGTCTAGATCTCCCCAGAGGTCTCTTCCCCTCAGGCTTCCCAAATAGTGGACCCAACCAACCAGATGGCTTACGGAACCCGAAGGTTCATCACCGAATTAACCAAAGCCCTCCACCGGTCCCTGTCCTGGGCCAACAAAATCCAGTCTCCTTCTACTCCTATCTCCCATAGATCCCGCCTGAGATTATCCTCCCATCTACGTCTAGATCTCCCCAGAGGTCTCTTCCCCTCAGGCTTCCCAAATAGTGGACCCAACCAACCAGATGGCTTACGGAACCCGAAGGTTCATCACCGAATTAACCAAAGCCCTCCACCGGTCCCTGTCCTGGGCCAACAAAATCCAGTCTCCTTCTACTCCTATCTCCCATAGATCCCGCCTGAGATTATCCTCCCATCTACGTCTAGATCTCCCCAGAGGTCTCTTCCCCTCAGGCTTCCCAAATAGTGGACCCAACCAACCAGATGGCTTACGGAACCCGAAGGTTCATCACCGAATTAACCAAAGCCCTCCACCGGTCCCTGTCCTGGGCCAACAAAATCCAGTCTCCTTCTACTCCTATCTCCCATAGATCCCGCCTGAGATTATCCTCCCATCTACGTCTAGATCTCCCCAGAGGTCTCTTCCCCTCAGGCTTCCTAACCAATACCCGGTGCACATCTCTTGTCCCATCCATGCGTGCCACATACCTCGCCCATCTCATTATTCTTTCCATAGTCAAATTTCGTATTTTCAAGGCTGTGGAAGTTTGCATTATGAGATTTTTTGGGGTCTTATAAATCCGACATATAGCCCAGGTCTGTTCACTTCTCCACTGACGATAAACGCAGTAGGTTCGTAAAATTGCTGCCAGCCAATAGTATCATACTTTGTAGCACTCCATACGGTCACCTTATTTATCGGTAATAGAAAATTAATTCAAATTTAACTCAATATTAAGCTTACCTCTCCAATCCATAACTCCAGGGGCACCGACTATCAGTACATCTCCATCCTGGAAAATCAAACCATAAATTTAATTTTTTGGTGAATTGTTTTCCATAAATTTTAGGAGTAAAAAATTTTTGTTTGAAATTTTTTAATAGAATTAACACACATCATGAAGATGTCCATCTGTGTGTGTGAATAAAATAAGTTGTCGGTCGTGGCGCTGATATCAGGGGAGTTCAAATTCTGAATTTTTTAGACAGAACAACCATAAACGGAACCTTATGCGTTTCGCTCATTTATATGCCTCCAAATTAAAAATAAATCCTCGCTGTTTAACGTCTATTGTATATAAATGTCGAAAAAATTTGTATATTCTTTACGTTTTATAGCTCGCAATACCGAAGTCTTATACACGGGTCTAAAATTTGAAATTTTTCGAAAAAAACTTTTTCGGATTGTCGCCTTGTCTGTGTTAAACAATTAAGAATCTGACGTCATTGTAAATTCTCGATTTACATTCATTTTCATCTGAATTCTAGGGTAAGAAACTTAATTTGTAAAAAAATAAATCAAGAATTGATTTGGTACTTGTTTTAAGTAGGAAATTGTTTTTATTGTTATTTAGATATATATACCGATATTAGCCATTATACAAATTTTTATTTTGTATTTGATTTTTACTTTAACAGCGCTAATCCAACTGCAGAAATTTTACAGCGTTAAATGAGACAGTGCAGTAACCATGGAAACAGACAGGACGTTCAAAGCAAGCGGTCGCTGCTTGTTTAAAGGGTATTTGGCTTGTAAGACTGACTAAAACCAATAAAACTTCAGTGAAGACAACAAATTACATAGTACAAATTGGAAATAGAGAAAAATATAGATTAATACAACTCCATAACAATTTTTGTGAGTGTTTATAGTTTATTTATCAACTGCGTGTGTCAAGTTATGTGGCTAAAGTAGAGATGACTGTACATATGCTGAGAAAAGTATGTGAAAAGAAACTGTCGTGACCTATTACAATGTAATATTGTGTATTTTTACTGGAAAGGCTGAATAAAACGAAGTCTCTTTACCGAGAATCAAACAGGGGACCTCACAAATACAAAGAAAGACTCGATGTTTGGTGGCGTAGTTCTTGAGATCTGTAGACAGGATAAAAAGCTAATTCAATGTAAAACATAAAGTCTTTTAGTGGTTTTATGTACAAATATAAAGATAAATATTCAGAACTGTGCTTGTAAAGAATGTGATCCGACACCCAAATCAATTTTAGAAACCGTGTAACGAGAAATGTAAGATCAGACGACGTCAAAATCCATAAGACAACATCCGACATCTTTATTGTCAGACAACCCGAAATCTCGATGAAGAGTCGAAATTTGTATCGGAGGTTTCCGATGCTTATGAAAAAAACTTAAAATTTAAAAGAGAATCATTCCAGGCCAAAAAGCTTTGTGTCCATGCCATCACATTTTCCGATGTTTATGAAAAAAACTTAAAATTTAATAGAGAATCATTCCAGGCCAAAAAGCTTTGTAATCCTCTAGAAGATTTCTGTAAAATCTGGCAATGAAATTGTCCAAATATTTGCATACAAACTTACCTTGGTAAAATGAGTAGATATTCCGGCTTGTCCGAAAGCAGAGTAGTACGATATATTTTTTTCCATATTTATATCTTTTGGTTTCTTCTTGTACCAGATATCTGGAAAGCAAATACAAGGCCAGAACATGCAAATTAATCAATAAACTATCATACTTTCTCAGGATTTTGGGGGTCTACAGCTCTAAAACAACTGAAATGGCGCCATTTTATTTTTTGTGAATATTAATTATCTCTATAGTTCTACTATTTCGTCCCAATTTCAAAATTATAAATTAATAAATTTTTTTCCCTCATTTACATTTGATTTTTCAGGTAATTTTATATATTTCTTAAATCTACAGCATTGGGAAAATTTGTTAAAAGCTACTTCGTTTTTATCGGCCCAGGACAGGGTTTGGTGGAGAGCTTTGGTTAATTCGGCGATGAACCTTCAGGTTCTCTAAGCCATCTAGTTAGTTAGTTAGCAATTCCATTTTTATTCGAAAAGAAGTTAATTTCTCTAGAATTGGTCGTCGTTTTAATATATCCTGCTTAGTCACGTTGTGACCGCCACGGTGGTCTAGCGGTCAGAACACTAGCCTTGTAAGCCTGGGGTCCCGGGTTCAATTCCCGGTGGTGCTCAAATTTATAACTTGTGTTGGGCAAGATGGAAGGATCCTGTTCATATGGACCTGTCGTCAGACAGAACACTACAAATAAAAGTCACGTTGTGAAGTTTCATTGCCTCTTTCAAAAATTTTATCACATTTTCTCGTATACCGAATTATTCTTGGTATTTTCTCTCCATCAAATGAAAAATCAACTTCTTTGTCCACAAACTCCTGCTTCTCGTTCCACTGACTGATTTACTTGTAATGTCTAATAAATTGTTGATTACTTTTCGGAGGACACTTGTGTTCGAGAAGATGGTGGATATTTTTAGAATCTACTGAAAAACTGCTTTGTATGTTAATTCTCACAAATTCTAAAACAACTCGTTTGTATCGTTACATGATATCGCCAAATTTACAAGTTATGTTAGAGTTGTGTTTTAAATTCTGGAACATTCTGTATTTACTAAGATTACTTGGACACTAATATATTATAAGGAACTGAAAAGTACCTCCACTTTTCAGGAATTCAGTTGTTTAAATTTAAAGTACTTTCGGATTATTAATTATAATTGCAGGATTTGATTTTAACGAATAACTTTCAATTGTATTTTAACTTACCGGAGGGTTTAATAAGTGGCATCAGTTTTTCAGAATTCTTTTCAGGACTCGATGTGTTTGTGACGTAACAGATTCCATTAACAAATCCGTGTCCTTTTGACGAGTAAAATAGGTTCGCCCAACGTGGCCCGCAGACCTAATTAAATGAAATTATGTAAAAGTTAAATAAATATTAATATATCTGGTTCAATATCCTTAATGGTAGGGTAACACGAGACGTATAAATACCACGTAAAATCACACAATTCAATTTATATGATTATTTAGAGGTGTTTGACATTTTTTGATTAATTATACAAATTTCATGTTAGAAACTGAAAATTGTCCGAGATATTTCTCATGTGATCTACGATTCAGAGATCATCTCTATTCCCGTCTTTAGGTTATTAGTTGTCATACTAACAGATTTTAGTACTTTTTTTATATTAGTAACATGCAGAATCACACCCGAAATTTTCTGACCACGCTAACCAACTCAGTTTTTACTGAAAAGCTATCGGGGGCCAAATGTGTTGATTCATGGGCTCAATTGCGTTTTGATATACAGATTTCTTAATGCGTATAAAATTCATTCACTGTGAAGCTAAATAGTACATAAGCCTATTTTGAGATACGAGTTTATGTCTTCTGGGTTGTTGCGCCGTGTAGTGTGGTAGATGTTTATCGATGTTTCAGAGGTCCTTTCTAGTTCCATCATCAGGGCGATCGCTCTGATGATGGAACTTGAACGTCTCTTCAGCCATGTTCTTAGTGACAAGAGACTCATTGTGGTATCTTCCAAAATTTATTTTTGTCTCTACTGAAGAAAACTTTCAATATATTGATATGTTTTTCCAAAGAGGTACCTAGAACGTCTCTTCAGCCTGAATAAAACTTTCAACATATTGATATGTTTTTCCAAAGAGGTACCATACGTGTTCTGATAAATGCAACATTTGCTGTGTTTCAAAATAAACACTTTTAAAATTAATTTAATCTTGTCTAAACATCTGGTGTCTTCTGATTAAATATTTTACGGTTACGAAAATTCTCACTGACAAACAGTTCGCTCCTTCATTTAACCTGGCTAAACTCTGTAACCTTATTAGTGCCTAGTTGCATACTGAGTAAGGGGCAATGTTTATATCCGTGCCAATGTACCTATTTAAACTGTGCAACTGTACATTATTCAAGTACATGTTTAAAAATAATCTATGTGGAACTTTCGCCATGATTGTGAACATTAGCAACGTTTGTTAACGAGTAAAGATGAAATCGTCAGTAATAAAATTCACATTATCACAGTGTTTGCTCGATTTTACAAAGATTTTTTTTCGCATTTTAAAATTTCTGAAATTGTGGTGCATTAGCATTTCATTATATCTAAGAACCGATGTCGAAAAATTATGCTGTATGATTAAAGATGTGTCTTACAGTCGATGAAGTCTAAAAAATCTATGAAATGCGATATTTTTGTGGAATTTGCAAGGCTAGAGGGGCGAAACAGATATTTATTTAACTTTTTCGTGATTAATTAATTATTGGTCTTCTGATTCAATGGTTGTGTGTTCAAATCTGATTGCAGGCAAAACAATTTTATTTGCATAAAACACATAGTTAAGAAACTTACTTATAAATTATGGTATACTGATTATTTACACAAAATATAATGTTAACACTTAAAAATAAGTTTAAATAAAAACGTGAAATGTGACATTTTCATAGAAATTTTATTAGAACATTTATGATGCTTTGTACTTACATGTGTCGTTCTAAATAAGCCTGGCCTCGCAAATTAAACTTTCAGTGTATAAGATATTTGAAAATGTTTATTATAATTCCTGCGTTACCCTAAATGTTGTTGATATAATTCCATCTAATCTAATATAAGCCCGTATGATTTGAGGTTCTCTTTGCTTTGAGTACGAAGATGGCTTTTTTCTGGGTTGTTACGCACTGTAGTCTGGTAGAAGTTTACCGACGTTTCAGAGGTCTATGCCCTCATGATGGTAAACTTCTACCAGACTACAGTGCGTAACAACCCAGAAAAAAGCCATCTACTATAGGCCCAATTAGATTTCTTATAACCTGTTTGTTTTCAGTGAAATCTTCTTTGACGAATAGCTGTGCAAAATTTAGGGAACTCTCTATACTTAAAATAGGGTTTTTTTATTTTATTAAGTTACACCATTGGTATGGGTTTAAAGAGCTGTTTGAATAAACATAAGAGTTACTTTTTACTCAACACATCAACCCCTGATAATGGAGAAATATATAATCTCAAAATGTTGGATATTCGAGTTATTCTCACATAACTGATCATTCAAGAAGACTTATTACATTCATTTGCAATAAAATCCTACCCGATTTTAAGTAAAACTTCAATAACAGAACACAAAGATTTGAAATTAATGGAATCGACTGGTTGTAGTTAAAGTTCTGGAAATATAAAACGATTTGGCCTATGGACAACCTCTTCCCGTTTGGGACCTTATAATACATAACACGACCTTGAAAATAGTAGTCTACGTGATTTTGCGAACTATCCAATGAATACTAATTTCGTAATGAAACTTACCACAATTTTTCCATTTTGTTTATCAATTACGTCCACAGAACCACCAATCCAGGAGTTATCTTTGTGTTGTAAATAATTACTTTGTGAATTTTTGTTGTTTCCTGGAAATAAAAATCTGCATGACATAAATTCCTTACAAAGAGATTTTATAAAATTTAGAGGGCATTTATACCTAAAGGCAACTTGCTACTGAATATATATTTTTGTAATAAAAGTTTAAATAAATTAAGAAATTTAAAACATTTAGAGGAACATGAGAAGAAAATATGCAAAACAGATAAGACACTAGATCACAGAATTTATATAATGAGAATAAGTGAGTAGTGGAGAACAGAAATGAGCAAAATGTATATAAATTTTTATTGAATGTAATTAATACCTAATATATAAATAGTAGCATAATTACTGTTGAATGTGATTAGTGAAAACGATATCGAAACTTAGAAAAGGAGCAATACGTTAATTTAATACCCCCTCTTACGTAAAATTTGAAGATTTAAATATTGTAAAGCATCAGCTTTCGTCTGCATTTTAATGCAATGTCAAAATTTAATATCTGAATAGACAAATGTATTATTTACAACTACTCTTTTTCGGTAGATGGCTGAAAAATCCATTATGTAATTATTTTCTTGTTTTCACACACTTTAATGTAAACGGGGAATGAATGTCGATGCCCTGGAAAAATTATAATTTACAGTTTTGTTAAGTAACCCGAAATGAAAGACGGTGTTCAGCGGTGTATTGGGTGAGGTATAAAATAACTTTCATCAGTACGTCAATATTAATAATCGAGAACTGATTCAAGACGTAACTCCGGTTGTAACATCACAAAATTTATTCATGATTCCACTTTTTATTTACGTATAAGGCAGTCTTAATGTTTTAATCAAAATTATTTCCTTAATATCTTTATTTGTGCCCTAATTATTATGTAAGCCAACCAACCAAAAAGCCAACTAAGGGCGGAGTCCTGCGGAAGCGCCAGACATCGTCCCTTCCTAGGTAACACCATTCCTGCGTACGAGACGCATTGCTGGAAATGGTAAACAGAGACTTAAAACTAATACGGGAATTTGCTTACGCTAACGGAGGTTTCGTCGTGCTGCTGATGAGAGGTTATCCCATCAGGCAACTTGTCCCTTGTGCAAAGGATTTTGGTTGGTTGGTTCTCTGGGGTTTGAACCCAGAGGGGGTAGGATCACTTCAGCTGAAGGCCGCCGTGATTGGGGGTGGCGGGCCGTGCCCCTCTTGAATTATGCCCTGGCATTTGCCTTACAACTGAGGAAAAGCACGGAAAACCTCAATCAGGGTAGCCGAGTGGACAGACCATTCGTTGCGCTGACTTGGCCGTCTTCTGGGGACAGCCTCGGCTTGCCTGCTGAGCATCAGTCCCTCTCGGTTGCCCGTGGGTGACCTCGGTCAGCCATCGTTCGGCACGAATGCCTCTCGAGTTGCCGGACCAAGGGGTTCCCGTATCCCCAAATCCTCGTGAATTTACCTGTTACTAACGTACCAAAGCGCGTTGGACACTTGGATTGTAACATTTGAAGCTTTAGAACGTGGCCGCAAACAGTTGACCTCCAGATCGGGCATGCGTAGTCCATCATAGGACGGATGAGCTGCTTGTATAACAGCACACCGTTTCTAACGGATAAGCCATTTCTCCTGTTAAGGACGGTTATGTAGGTTTATCCACTTAAAGCCGTATTCATTGCAATGCACGGTAATTACAGTTACCCTCGTTTTTATAATTTGACGAAATTAGTCAGCAGTTCGTATGCCGGAGGAATTTTTCGGTGAGGGATTATGGCCACGCAGATCCCAGTAAATAACGTCCCCTGATGTTTGTGGGAGGTTTTACTGGATAAAACGTGTACCAGATTATCCAAAGAATTATAAAATAACTAAGAATAAACACTGAAAATGTTATCAGAAACACGAAGAACGTAGTCAAGAGATTTGGTGTAATTGGAGAACAATTGGAGGCATTTTCAGCATGTTTTATAAGCAATTCATGCTCTGTGTTAAGATAAAAGATAAAGAATTTTATATTTGGGGACGTTTTCAAAAGGATCATTCTAATTTTGAACAATTTTTGGTCACCTACGTTACTTATTATATACACATCTTGTTAAAATTTCAAATACACATGGACTTTGGATTTCTAACGAATTTGTACCAAATCATGTATATCCGGCTGATGATTAAAAGGTTCAAATTTCTGTGGTTTCTACTCTTGTTTTGTCCCACTCGCTCATGTCCTCGTCTTATAACAAATACTCATCTTCTGTGCAATTTTTAATAATTATGCTTCAAGATTTAGCGTATGTTATAAATAATTGTTTTTAAAACAGTGACTAAATTAAAATTACTTTGTGACAAATGCTTTTATATCTACGTAAGTTTCCCACGTATGATTCATATGTCCTGCTGTAGCGAAATGAATAATGACGACGATATTATTTCGATTCCATGGACATTTAGATTCTAGTTATTTTGTAAACTTTAAATTAAATAAATATAGGGTGGGTGAGAAGTAAGTAGGCATTGAGAAATGGTTATAATCTCTATATTTCCAATGTATAGCGATTATTTAATGTCTACTTACTTCCCACCCACCCTGTATATCAAAGAAACAAATATATGCAGTCACTTTTCCTTATTGAGCTCAGTGTTCTTTGCAAATAGAAGCTGGTTATTGAAAAGCGGTTTCTTGTTTTCAGATACATGTAATTGAACAGTTCGTAAAAGATAAATATTACAAAATCTCTGTCCTAATAATGGTCTAGAGGTTAGAACGCTGGCCTTGTAATCCTGGGGTCTCGGGTTCGATTCCCGGCGGTGCCCGAATTTATAACTTGTGTTGGGCAAGGCCGTGGTCTAGGCAACACGGAGTTTTCCTCCGGGGGCTTCCCCGGTTTCTCCGTGGCATCCCAACAATTACTCCATGCACACACAGAAGAAGGCAATGGCAAACCACCTCTGGATCATCTGCCAAGAACGTATATGAAAAGGTCCCAGTCCGAGAAAAGGATGGAAGGATCATGTTCATATGGACCTGTCGTCAGACAGAACACAAAATAAATAAAATAATATCTTGGAAATAATGTGAAAGGAAGCGGTATGCCATAATTTAAGGCATTTCCGCCCGGAACAAATGAGAGAGATCACGAAATGTCTCAGTTATGACAGTTGGTCTTCTGTTTGGGACTCAAACCCGGGGTTTCCCGAATAAGAATCAGGGTCTGCCGCGATTACCGTGGCTGTAAGACGGATGCCATAGTGCAAGTGTTGTTCTGTGTTACGTGTTTAACGGCGGAGCGTGACAGTGGTGTTCTGGGTGGCTAAGGAAATAATCGGTGAGTAGTTTGAAAATAACCCGTATAGACGCTCTACAGAGTTGTTGAATTTAAAGCAGTTGGTACAATTATTAGAGTGCTTTTAGGGATTAATATACGATCCAGAATTATGGCAGAGGAACAGCTTTCAATAACCGGTTGAAAAAATAAGTTTACTTGAGAATCCAGTTAGTAACTTCCTAAATCTCTGTTATACGCCGAAATTTCGGAACAGCTATACCGGAAGCTGAGCACATTTTTGTTAGTCAGTTCTAACAATTTCACCTCTTCACAATCTGTTTCCATAAGTTCCATCTACATGTCCAACCTATAGTTGCCTCCTCGTTTCTCTGTCACTTTTACCTGTCTTCGAGTAAAGACATGTTAAAATTACCTTCCTAACCTAATTTGTGTATAGTCTATATATTTTAAATTGAGTTTAGAGCCTAACACTTAAGTAAAAACTTAGAATTGTGTTTAGGAACTTTCAACTACACACAAGGACAAATAATTTTTTTAAATTTTAATTCTGTATACATCTAATATCTGTAAATTAAGTTACTCATTATTTTGTTCCCTGATACGGCGTTTGGTATATTTCTATTTGTCCCACTTTATTTTAATGCCGGAGTATAAATCAGTGTTGCCAACTCAGATAAGAGGACTAATGAAATAGTCCGACTTTCATGTTACATCCGGACTCATTCTGACAGAGAAATCATAAGGACGCCCATAATGAGATGTGATAATCTCACGGGCCATTTAAAAATTAGTCTGTTTTTAATAATAAATTATGTACCACTTTTACAGAAAAGTTGCACGAAAATGTCTAAATGGTGATACATTTTATGATTCTAGCAATTTACCAGTTAGAACTTGGCAATTGAAATTCAAATAAAAATGAAAATGCGTGTTTACTTACGTTCTGAGTCAAGGAGCTGGGGTACACATTTCTTATCTCCCTCCAGTTGGCACTGGTACAGGACTCCAGGTTCTATGATTTGTGTGTGGTTTTCGTAAGTTGAGTTCCCTCGGGGGGCCCCGACCAACAACCTGCAAAAAACAACCCTGACACCTATCTGGAAAAAAAACACACTACAAAAACCCCTAGTACGAGGAGAAATGATTACCAATCTTTCATTGAAGTTACAAGGTAATTAACGAAATAATTTTTGAAAGATAAAAATCTTGTGTTTTCTGTGAGACATCTGAGAGACGGAGGACATTTGATACTGGCCTGAGCCAATATATGTGATGCAGCAAGGATTAGCTGTGCTCTCGTATAACGTAGTTTACCTCTTGCTTCAAATAGCTTAGATATTGCGTTACTAACAACGACGTGTCATTCTGGGTGACTCTAAGATAATATGAGGTGCGATCGGAAAGTTACAAGACTGTGTCAATAGAGGGCGAACCGGATGTAGTACGAGCTTCTACCGCTAGGGGGGTGCGGCCTACATTCATAGTGAATCAGTGTGCCAGCCGGCATCATCGAATTAGCATTTGTTTCTTAGTTACGGGCGTTTTGGTAGTGCATTACACCGACCCTCCTGCGATTTCGGAATGGCGTGTGCATCAAATTTTGCCAAAGACTCGCCAAAACGGCTAAGGAAACCTATGAAATGCTAAAGCAAGCATTTGGGGAGTCCGCAATGGGTCGTGCACAAACGTTTGTGTGGCATTCACGTTTTAAAAAGGGCCGGCCGAACCTCTGTCGATGATGACGAGAGTTCTGGACGACCATCTTCGAGCACAACGCCCGAAAATGTTACGAAGATCGAAGTCGTACCATCAACGACTTGTGCGACATTGTTGGGATAGACTATGGGAGCCTCAAACACCATGGCCGTCATCCTGCACCCTCCTTATTCGCCGGATTTAGCTCCGTGTGACTTCTTCCTCTTCCCAAAGATGAAAATTCAGCTAAAGGGAAGGAGATTTGAGACGATAGAAGAGATTCAGGCAGAATCGCAGATGGTGCTTGACAGGCTGACAAAGAAAGATTTCCAGGGATGCTTCCAGGCTTGGCAGCGGCGCTGGGATCGTTGTGTTCACTCCCAGGGGAACTACTTCGAGGGTGATGGATGAATTCAATACCTGAGATAAGTGTACGGGTTTTTATACGCGCAGTCTTGAAACTTTCCGATCGCACCTCGTATTATGGATCGTCTTCTTTTGCGTTACCAAAACATATTCTCCCACAATCTCGTATCTCTTCTACCCACAGTGAGTATTATCTACCCTAGAATGACAGCTGTAGAATACATTATCATCAGTTATTCTATGATTTGTCGCCTATTCTAGAATCTATGCATCTTTGTCGAACAGTGGGTCGTCGGGTCGTCTCTTATCTGTTTACTTTGTATTCATGTTGTCGCTTACGAGGATATTTCGAGCCTGCTAGATTAAAAGTTTTCTGCAGTAGTTTGATGGCCGCCGCCTTCAGACACGACAGAAAGAAACATCTTGTAGTACCTTTAATTGTAAAAAAATGTGGTATATGAATAACATCCATGACGTTTGTCGTTGTAATGATCCACTAACTTCACACACATTCAAGTTTAATGTTAAACCTGACGTCTACTTTATTTCTTGCAGATAAATTTCGGCCGCACAAATCATGCTTTCAGTGTTAGCCTTTACAAGGGTTGGTCATTAACAGTCTCTCATTTTACGTACAAATACCTCCACATTCCATTTGAACGTCTCAAACGCTGTTCGAAGTGTTAACATTCTTTAACATTATTTACATTTCTTAACATTTTAATTTCTATGTCTGGTGTTGTACAAAATTAACTTATCTACGCCCTATGCTGTAGAATATATATATATTTTATATTACTTTTCGTTTTTAATTCTTCTTACTTACGGTTTAAATTCCACTGTTGCACACTAATTTGTTGATTTTTAACATTACAGTTTCTAAAGAAATCTTAGGAAATGTGCTGTTTGTCTGCAGTATATCATTGTAATAATACGTCAGCTAATATTACCTGGGGTTGTGTACCTTCTATAGTAGAACATAGACTGAGGGTGTTTGAGAACGTTCCACTTCAGTTCAGATATTGCTCTAAGTTCCGTAATTATTACGTGAATTATTATATCCTAGTATAAAAGATTATAGTTTCCAGAGTTCTTGTGCTATTTAGTAAAGAACTTAAGGGAAATATGGCCAATGTAAGAAATCTGGCCAACAGGCTACCGTCCTCGTACATTCACAGATTGCCAACAGAAATCAGCGCCATAACATCACAAACTTCGGTCATGTTATATTTAGTGACACATTCGTCAACTACGCGGCGCTGTGTGATGGCAGATGCCACGTATGTGTCTATCATAACTAACTTTCAGAACAAAAGTAATGAATAATTAATGGTCATTAACAGTAAATATATTAGATATTAAGATATTGTAGGTGCGTCATATTGTGATTTATTTAAATATTATTAAAAATATATTAAAATTGGCCGTCAATCACAATATAAGATAATTAAAAGATTAAAATATCATTTTAGTGACATGTGACACAACAACGGATGAAGATACAATATGAAGGACGTGAACATGATAAGAAAAATGAAAACTAAAAATTCATTAAAAATCAGTAATTCAGTTAAAAAGTTTATAACATAACACCTGATGATGGCTATATATAGCCGAAACATGTCGTAAATGTTCCACATGTAAATCGAGTACTCGATACGGAACGTAAAATGATATTTTAATCTTTTAATTATCTTATATTGTGATTGACGGCCAATTTTAATATATTTTTAATAATAAGTAAATATATTATAAATACTATTATAATAAAACATAGTCTGATGCAACTAATTAATTAATTGGTGTTTTATTCAAATAGTTTTTTATATTTGTGAATAGCAACAAGACATAACATTACTACCATCGTAAATATATTAATTTACTTAAAGTTGAAATGAAAGGGAAATTTATGTATTTTTATAAGGCCTAACTAGATGTTACGACATTCTTTCTTAGATTCTTTTACCAAAGCAAAATACCACAAACTAAGTGCAGGTGTACGGATAACCGTGCCCCAAAACAAAACCTTTCATTGTGAAAGCTTATTTTATTTACTCAAAGAATTTCTCAAGTGATTAGATACCGCGGACAAGCCTAAATTTATTTAGTGTTGACAAAAGTGATGCAGTTCAAATTTCTTCTTATTGAAGCAAAGACTTGTCATTTCATTTGTAATTTAAAATATTTATACTGTTTTTCGTTCTTGGAGGTTTAAAAAGTTAAAATAAACGTTAATCGAATATTTTAATTTATACATTTTTAACAGGACCAGAGTCAAAGAAAAACTTGCATATATAAATATAATCAGAAAAAAAACAATTGTTTTTACAGATCTGTTTAATTTGTTTATTTGTTTAATCTTGTCAGTCTAATCACAATAAAATTCTGTTAAATATTAAAATATT